GGGGGGTGGGACACTGGGATCAGTGGGCTCGAGGTGCGTTTGTGAGCTGTGCGGGCACTGCGAGTCTCCTGGGTGTGCCCTGGACTGTGTAGCAGGCTTTCTTAAGTCCACATTTGCTCCTTTGTTAATTCTTGCGTCCTTCTGTTGTCCGGAGCCCCCTGCCTGGCCTGTGTTGAGCCTAGAGACCAGTGAGGGGCCCTGACTCCATTCCCGCCCGCAGGGATCTCGCCCCAGTAGTCACCTAAAACACAAAGATTCTGGACCCAGTCTTGCGTGAGGACGTTTTCTTTTTGCTTCGGTGTCACCCTCTCTAATCCCAGCTTGACCTCAGTGGTTCCAGGCCCTGCCTGTGTCTCCACTGCCAGTTTTTTCCCTCCGGCCCATCATGTACTTGGTCTGTGGCCAGAGTCCATCTGTCCTTCAGAGACATCCGTGTGCCCCTGCCCTTGTTCCCCTGCCTGTGTCCCCTTTCCTCCAGGAGGTGCACTTCAGGCCCCGCCCCTCTCCCTTAGCCAGCCTTCCTGCCATTGCCCGTGTTCCCAGCACCTGTCTGCCCTCTGCTACCCTCTTAGCTTTCCCTTTGTCTGCATCTTTGTCCCTCGGAACCCAGTTCAGTGCTGCCGTTTCCAGGAAGGTCCTCTGGGTTCTCTGCTCCCTCATGTCAGGGTCGGTCTTGTCCTGCTCTCTGTTGCTGTGGTGCTTTGTACCTGCGGCCCTGAAAGCTCTTGTGGCCGGTTATCGCGGACTCTGTGATGTCAGGAACGAGGTCTTCCTACCCCAGTGCTCGCACGCAGGGGGCCCTCCGCCTAGGAGTGTTCTGAACCGTGACAGTGAATGTCAGGAGTAGCCATGACGCTCACTGCTGCATCACACCTGGGCCCGGGCCCGGCCACGCAGCACATCCCTCAGGTGCTGCCACGCCTCTGCTGCACATGGCTCACATGTGCCCACTTGTGTCGCCACAGGAGGAGCTGATCAGCTCGGTGGTCATCTCTCAGCTCTCCCACATCCCGGAGGACAAAGACCCCCAAGTCCGGAAACTGGCCACCCAGTTGCTGGTGGACCTGGCCGAAGGCTGTCACACCCACCACTTCAACAGCCTGCTGGACATTGTGGAGAAGGTGAGAGCCCCTCCGGCGGGTACCTGGGCCGCCAGAGGGACCCCTCTTTGTGGCAAAGCCCTGCAGGCGGCAGTAGGCTCTGGGCTCTCTGCCCCCATTCTCCCCAGGGCGATCGGTGCGCCTTGCAGGCAGGGCTGCTCCCACGGCAGGGACGGGCAGCGCTGGAGACCTGGCCGGGCCTGCAGCTGGGGCTCCTAGGGGGGCGGCCGGGAAGCAGGCTTCGGCCCAGTACTGCTGCACAGTCAGCGCATTTTTCTTTTAATGCTGAAATACGTTGCAGTTTCTGAACGGTCGGTCCCTCAGGTGTGTGAAATGCAGCTTTTGAGAAACAGGACAAAGTATCAGGTCTGATGGTTGCTGCCGGAGGGAGGCCTGAACCGCGAAGGTGAGCGCACGTGTTCTCTCTAAAGGTGATGGCCCGCTCCCTTTCCGCACCCCCTGAGCTGGAGGAAAGAGATGTGGTGGCATATTCAGCCTCCTTAGAGGATGTGAAGACTGCCGTCTTGGGGCTCCTGGTGATCCTTCAGGTGGGCCTCTGCTCTTCTGGGAGGTTGCGGCGGCCAGCTGCCTGTCGGGATGTGTCTCCTGGGACCCCGGGCACCCCCTGGCGGCCGCAGAGGGCAAACTGGCAGTGACCCAGACCCCTCCGGTCGTGGGGTGTGGGGCTCCCGAGAGCTGTGGGGAGGGGTGGACAGGGTCGGCCAGAGCAGTCTGTGCGGAGATGCCCCTGAGTCAGTGCCGGGACTGTCCCCTCAGCTCTCACCGCAGGCCCGCCATCGACGCTGGCCCCGTGGGCGCTGGGGTTCTTTGAACAGCTTTGTTGAGATGTAAGTCATAAACCACGGAACTCATCCACTTAAAGTGTGAGGTTTGGTGGCGTTTTCAGTATCTTCAGAGTTGTGTGGGCATCACTACGGTTTTAGAACATCCTCGTTCCCCAGAAGGAACTCCGCACCCGTTAGCCACCCCCCACCTCCCCTCAGCACCCCTGCCCGCCTCTGGTTCGCTTTCTGTCCTGTGGGTCTGCCTGTTCTGGACATTTCGCAGAAATGGAATCCCACACCACGAGCTCCTGTGGCTCCTCCCCGTGGTGGCAGGCGTCCGTGCCTGCTCCTCTCACGTCCACGGCTCGTAGTCACGTGCCGGTGTGCCTTGCCTGCGTCGTCTTTGTCGCTCGATAGACACGGTTTCTTTCCACCTTTTGAGTCTCGTGAATCACCCTGCTGTGAACACTCCTGTACAAGTTGCTGCGTGGACATAGGTTTTCGTCTTTCTGGGGCTCCCACCTAGCAGAGGAGTCCTGGGTCAGACGGTAACTCTGTGCTTCGTTTGAGGAGCCGCCAGCCTGCCTTCCTCTGGGCTCGCTCCATTAGACCTTCCCGGGAGCGGGTGTGAGGTTCCGCTTCTTCCACATCCTCGCCGGCACTCCTCTTCTGCTTTTCTTTTTTTTATTTTTTTTTTTTTTAAATTTTTTTTTTCAACGTTTATTTTATTTTGGGACAGAGAGAGACAGAGCATGAATGGGGGAGGGGCAGAGAGAGAGGGAGACACAGAATCGGAAACAGGCTCCAGGCTCTGAGCTATCAGCCCAGAGCCTGACGCGGGGCTCGAACTCACGGACCGCGAGATCATGACCTGGCTGAAGTCGGACGCTTAACCGACTGCGCCACCCAGGCGCCCCTCTTCTGCTTTTCTTGAGTGTAGCCATGCGGGTGCCTGGGAAGTGCTGCCTTGTTGTGGCTTGACCTGCTTTCCCCTGATGCCCGTGACGAGCGGCCTTTCATGTGCCGATCGGTCACTGGTGTCACTTTGGGCACAAGCGTGTGCACATCTTCTGCTCGCTGTTTAACTGGGTCTTTGCCTTTTCGTTGAATCGCGAGAGCACTTTGCACGCTGTGAACAGGAGTTGGTTGCCAGCTAGAGGGTCGGCACGTACCCTTTCCCTCAGTCGTAGCAGCATGTCCTCGCCCTCCTGTGGCGTGGCTGTCCCCCCGTGTCCCTGAGGGTCGCTGGGGCCGTGGCCTCTCCCTTTCATGCCCCAGACAACCTCCGCCTGGGCTCTGCCGTCCGTCTCAAAGCACCACAGTGTGTGTTGAGGTTATTTGCCGGTGTCAGTATTCCGTGAAGCAGAGTGTTCGAGTCAGTTGCCTCAGAAACTTGCAGTTCATGAGCTGTTCAAGGGCGTGGCAGTTTCCCATAGCGCTTACCCGTGACGACGCTCTGGTGTGCGAGCGTGAACTGGGGGAGGAAAGCCGGGCAGTCCATCCCCGGTGCCCCTTCACGGGGGCCCAGCTCTCTTGACCGCCGTGACGTGTGAGGGAGCATGCTGGGCTGAGGGGCCTGTGGCCTGAGCGCCCCCAGGTCCCTGCCGCAGAGACGTGAGAGAGGCCATCTGTTACCCTCACCTGGGACCCCAGCCCTGCAGACCTGAGGGTGGGGCCACAGAGCCAAGCTGTTTCCTAGTTGTGGCAAAGTCTGGGGCCAGGCTGTTTTTGTTTTCTTTTTATGTAATTAAAAAGTCATCCATGGGGCGCTTGGGCAGCTCCATCGGTTAAGCGTCCGACTTCGGCTCAGGTCATGATCTCATGGCTTGTGACTTCGGGCCCCATGTCAGGCTCTGTGCTGACAGCTGAGAGCCTGGAGCCTGCTTCGGATTCTGTGTCCGTCTCTTACTCTGCCCTTTCCCTGCTTATGCTCTGTATTTCTCTCTCTCTTAAGAATAAACGGTAAAAAACAGCTTGATAAGTCATTTATGCGTTCACTTAAGCAGTATACACACAGCAGAGAGTTAGATTGTCTCTCTTTCCTGCAGAACGGGCAGGCAGCCGTCCTGTCCTCTTCTGTCCTCTCTGGACCTGCCCCTGTGTTGTCAGCGTTGTGTCCGGCTCCCTCCCTCCCCCCACCTTGTTTTGTTAATGAGTTGTCTTTAGAAAGAATAGCAGTAACACGTGTTTTAAGCCTCACTGTTCTCTTCAAGAGTACCACGGACCACAGAGGGGTCCCTGCTGCCCCTGGGCGGCCCATGCCACCCCGAAGCCCCCCACACCAAAGTCTCACCTGGCCTCTCCCAGGCTCACCTATCAGGGAGGTGGGGCAGGAAGGGGGCTACAGTGGGATGACAGCCCGGTGGCCGGTGAGTGGGCCCCCTTACCCTCCTCGAGCACCCCGGGGCCTCACGCCTGGTCTGTCCACTTTCCTGGTGGCAGAGAGAACGTGCTTCCAGCCCACGGGGGTCTTGTCACCCATGTTGCCGAGTGGTGGGCCATTGGACAGATTTTCCTGATTTATTAGGAGAGTTCCCATCGAGGGCGTGAACGTGTCGTTGTTCCTGATTTTTTCCCCATTACTGAGAGTATGCACATGTGGAGTGTCCATGGGACGAAGTCCCTGGACTGGAATCAGTGGCCTGAAGGGTCTGTGCCTTCCAGGGCATGGCAGACCCCTCCCAGTTACTTGGGGAGGGCTTGTCCTGGTTCCTGGGCACGAGGGTGCTGGCCGCATGGCTGCGTTTGAGCCTGCTGCCTTCCGAGCGAGCGGCGTGCTCTCTCTGCAGACCAAGCTGTACGCCTTGCCTGCCAGCCACGCGGTGCGTGTGTACGAGACCCTCGTCAGCCACCTGCAGCTCCACTACAAGCACGGCTATACCCTGCCCATCGCCAGTAGCATCCGGCTGCAGGTAGGAGGGCCAGCCGGCTGTCGGTGGCCGTAGTGGAGTAAGCTGCGCCTCAGGGCTGCCCACGGTCCCTTCCTGGGGACCTGCTGGTGACATCAGGGACCTCACTCCGGGGAGGTGGCAGGTGGTCCCAGGAGGGGACTTTGGCGGACTGTTCCATCCTTAGCACCAGCTGTGGCTGCAGCCTCCCCAGTAGCTGCTGCCCCTCCCTTTGCCTGCGGTGCGTGTGCCTCTGCGTGTGCAAGTCTGAGCCCTCCCGTGGCCTCAGGTGTGGGCAGAGAAAGGGGACAGCACTGTCTTTCAGGGTGGCGCGCAGCCACAGCCTGGTCTCTGCTGGGGCTGTGGAGTCTCTGGGGGCGGGGTGCGGGTGGGACTGGGCGGGGCTGTAGGGCGCAGGGGCGGGGCTACGGGTTGGGCTAGGTGGAGGGGCGGGGCCAGGTGTGGAGGGTCGCTGCTGCTGAGAGAGCTGGCAGGACTGACTGCTCTGAGGGCACCGCTGAGCAGAGGCCTCTGGGACAGAAACGCTGGTCCCTTCCAGAGCATCCACGTGTCAGGCAGCCCCCTGTCATTTGGGCAGCCCAGTTAAGTGACCTGTTGTTCATTGGAGGAAGTGACAGCACCCGAGCAGGGTTCTGGTTTTTTGGCACCCCGGGCTGCGTGGTGCTGCCCAGCCGGCGTGTGAGATGCCCTTTCCCTCTGTCGCTGGGGCGGGCCCCGCTATGCCTGGCATGAGGCCACGGTGTTGTCCCTGCCGTGGGGAGGGCGCACCTCCGCGGGCTCTGAGGGAGAAGGCAGGGACGCCTGCGTCTCGGCCCCGGTGCCTCTTTGTGCACAGTGGAGTCGGGGCGCGTTGACTGTTAGCGGGAACGGCCCTTTCTGAGATGCCTGGGTGCGAGTGGACGGCCCGGCGTTGTCCCTGCCTTGTTGGACCTTGCTTTTTCTCTGCAGGCCTTTGACTTCCTGCTGCTGCTGAGGGCGGACTCCCTGCACCGCCTCGGCCTGCCCAGCAAGGACGGGGCTGTGAGGTTCAGCCCCTACTGCGTCTGCGACTCCACGTGCGTGTCAGCCCTGCTTCTCCAGTTCCGGGCCGTGGCGTCCACCGCCGTCTGCCCTGGGGTGGCCCTGGGTCTGTGCGAGTGTCCAGAGCCGTCCTGACGACAGTGTGGGGCGGGGCCGGGGGCCAGCACCTCTCCTGACCCCGTGGAGTGGGGGCTTCGGCCTCAGGGCTCCTGCCACTTGTCTCCACAGGGAGCCAGAGAGAGGCTCTGAGAAGAAGGCCGGCGGCCCCCTGTCGCCTCCCACCGGGCCGTCCGGCCCAGCACCTGCCGGTCCCGCTGTGCGGCTTGGCTCCCTGCCCTATTCCCTGCTCTTCCGGGTCCTGCTGCAGTGCTTGAAGCAGGTGGGGTGGCTGGTTCCTCAGCTGAGCCAGGGCACACCGAGCGGTGGTTGGTGCCGCCCACGGGGCATGGTGCCTGTCTCTGTAGCGGCGACCTTGGTAGGTTCACCCCAAGGTCACAGCGGGGAGCATCCGCCGTGCGCAGCCATCACCCGGGGCTGGGCACGGAACCGAGGAGACCTTCCTGCCTCTGGGCGACGGTTGTGGTATGATGTGGGGGCGGGTAGGCAGATAGCCGGGATCGCGGGACTGGTGTGCCTCAGAAGGAGACTCGGGTGCACTGAGCCCCGGTTGGGGGCACTTGGAGGGGCAGGTGGGAGGTTCCAGTGGCAGGAGTAAGCCGAGCCTGCAGGCAGGGTAGGTGCAGTTCTGGCAGCAGGAGGCAAAGCTGGGGCCGTGACACGGAAGGGGAGGGGCAGAGGCCTATTCCCATACAGGGCCCGGGGAGAGGTGACGTGGCTAGCAATGTGGCACGGTGGGGCTGGGAAGCCTGCGGGGGCTTCGGTGAGCCCTTGAAGGCCACGGGCAGGGAAGCGGCTTCCCTGGGGGCACTGGGCGTTGGCACTAATGGCTGCCGTCGGACACTTCCTGTGAGAGTCTCGAGGCCTCTGAGTCACAGGTGGGATCTGGGGAGCGGCTCTCTGGTTTGGTGGCCACTGAGCTTACGGGTGGCGGCCTCTGGAAGTTGCGGGGGGGCTACGACCATGTTTTCCCGTTGCCGTGTGCCCAGGTGGATTTGGGTCCTAGAGTGTGTGTGTGGGCTTGTAGATTGTTCAGGAACGCTTGCCGCCTTCTCTTTGAGCTAGTACACGAGCTTTTTCCTTGCTGCATGTTCACTGTGCTCCGGGTGGGCGTCAGTCAGCATGCCGTGGGCGCCGTGCCCTGGACGGGCAGCCTGTGGGTCACTGTGGGTACACGGGGAGGGGGTCAGGTGTGGGGAGTCCCGGGGCCGGCTCAGAGGGGAGAGGCGGTAGGGGCCGTGCACCGGGCCTCCCGCTCAGCCTGGCCTCGGGAGGGCGGCCGCCGTCATGCCGGGGTGAACTTTCTCGGAGGGGCACGTGCTTCTCGGGCTGCGGGCACAGAGGGCGTCCAGAGGTCACGCAGCTCAGACTGCCCAGCTCAGACTGCGCTTCGGGCCCTGAGACAACGTCTTCTGTCTGCAGGGCCCAGACGGTCCCCGCTGAACGGCCCTTTTTCCTGCAGGAGACGGACTGGAAGGTGCTGAAGCTTGTTCTCGGCAAGCTGCCCGAGTCCCTGCGCTTCAAGGTCCTCATCTTCACGTCCCCGTGCAGCGTCGACCAGCTGTCTTCCGCCCTCTGCTCCATGGTAACGTCACCACCCACATCGGGGCTGCAGCCGGTGCCTTCCTCCCAAGGACCGTGAGGCCCCGGGAGGTCAACCGTGGAAGCCCGAGAGGGCGGTCTCCCCCAGAGACAGACCCCTGTGTGCAGCGCACATCGCGTGTGGGGCCCTGTCCTTTCCCAACTCAGGGGCCAGAAAATCGGAGGCCTCACTGAAGGGCTCATGAGCCAGATGTGGTATTTTGAGTCCTTCCGCCGTCTTCCTCACCCCTCACCGGGGCTCCTGTGACACGCTCATGCCCTCTCCGACTGTCCGTAGCAACCAGCGTGGGCGCCCCCTGCTGCACACTTCTGGGAAAAGGCAGACCCTTGGCCAGAAAAGGAAGTGGGAGAGCCCCCACCCCCTGGGCTCACGAGCCCTCCTCGCACCGGACCTGCGTTCTCACGGGCTCCCCCGCACCCTCGGCCCCCTAGCGGTCTGCCTGGCTCTCCGCCCGGGCCTCACATGGGGGGCCTTGGTCTTTAGCTTTCAGGTCCCAGAACTCTGGAGCGGCTCCGAGGCACCCCGGAAGGTTTCTCCAGGACCGACCTGCACCTGGCTGTGGTTCCTGTGCTGACGGCGTTAATCTCTTACCATAACTATTTGGACAAAGCCAGACAGGTACCGGGTGGGGGAGGGACAGGTGAGCTCACGGTGCCGGCATTGGAAAGCCTGGGTCCCGGGATGTTTGCTCTAGCCGCACGGGCCGGACGTTTTTCTCATGATCCGGGTGGCTGCTCGGCCGGGAGCTGGCCTTGCTTCCCCCGTGGCCGCCGGACCCCTGCTGGCACGGCGCTCCTGCGTTCTCTTCCGGGTGGTGTGGGCTTAATGCGGTGTCGACTGTCGACCCCACGTGCAGCAGCATTTTTTCTCTCTGCGGAGCCCCGCCTGCTTGTCCCGCCCTGGCTTCAGGACAAGCGCTGAGCCACTTGGCAGAGCTGGACCTGTTTTGAGAGGCCAGGCAACAGGGTCCGGGACGCCTGACTTCTGTCTGCCTCCACGTCTGTCGTCAGGTGCAGAAGCACACGGCAGTGCTCCTTCCCTTTGGTCCCCACTGCTGGGCACAAGGCCCGTGCTGCCATCACACTGGCTATCTCGGTTAAAGTCCCGATGCTTCGCGGTCACTCTGCCTTCGTTGACGAGGGAACTGAAGTCTTAGGTCGGGTGGTCCGCTCACGGTGACACCTGGCAAGGAGTGGGGCCTCGACTAGCCTCGGGCCGCTCTGAGCCCGCCTTCCTGGTCGTGGCAAGGTCGGGAGCTCATGCTCCCCGTCCCCTCCCTCCCTCCCTCCCTGACTGCACCGTCTCCTATGTGGCTCGGCCTGGTTCGTCCTGGCTGTGCCCCGTTGGGCAGCAGGCCATGCCGGGGTGAAGGTTTCCCGAGAACCCTTGAGGCCCAGGGTGTTCCTGGCGGATGGGGCTGGCTTCAGGAAATCGAAATCCTCCACGGGGCCCCGAGCTACCGGGTGGTTTGGCCTGAGGCTGTGGCTTGAGCGGGAGCTGCCTCCTGCTGGGTACTGGCTGCCCGGAGCTGTGTGGGCCTCTGCCCGTCTTGCTGCGTCGGGCGGAACCTCCCCCGTAATAAGGTTCCGTGACCGGGGGGCTAACGGGCCCAGCGTGTCCCAGCTCCGGGGTTGGCTGAGGAGCCGGGGCAGGGGAGCGTCGCCTGCCGGCGTTGGCCGGTCGGAGGTGCCAGGGAAGGCCTGACCAGAGCTGCCCTGCTGTCCCTTCGCCTCGGGTGGGTCCACCTCCTGGCCCTGTGCTGCTTATGTGCTTAAGGACCTGGGATGAGGCGCTTCACCTTCCTAAGCCTTGGTCTCCCCCTCTGTAGGACATTCTGGAGTGGGGTGAGGGGAGAGAAGCCTGTGTGTGGGCAGGGGCAGGGGTGCGGAGGGCCGGCCTGTGGCGGGCTGGGTCTGAAGCCCCCGTGCTGCCCCGCAGCGGGAGATGGTGTACTGCCTGGAGCAAGGCCTGATCTACCGCTGTGCCAGCCAGTGCGTGGTGGCCCTGGCCGTGTGCAGCGTCGAAATGCCCGACATCATCATCAAGGCGCTGCCTGTCTTGGTCGTGAAGCTCACACACATTTCGGCCACAGCCAGCATGGCCATTCCACTCCTCGAATTCCTGTCAAGTAAGCATCCGCCTGCATGCTTGTCGTTGTGTGTGTGTGGGGGGGGGGGGGCGGTGGACTCTTGGGTTTGGGGCTGCAATGTACCCAGAATAACCTGTGTTGACTTCTCTGAGCTCATTTTTCTATCTCTCTCGGGACATAGGTTAGTGCGCGGTCTCCATGGAGCACCTGGGCTGTGCCATGCTCTGTTGCCTCAGGGCCTTTGCACTTCCTACCCCCGAGCCTTAACTGCTTTCCTTCCTGGCCTTCGAGTGTCTGGCTCCATTCTCATCCTCTTAGTTTAAATGGCATTGAAGCCTCTGTGTTGCCCGACATGGGTCCCTGCACTTGGCCGGGCTCTCGGCATCCTCTTTATTCTCCTCAGGGCACACACCCTGCGTGTGAGCTCTGCCGAGGGGCTTTGCTGATTCGCCTCTCAGACTGTGACTTCCAGGAGCTCGGGCTGCCTCACTCACCCATTCGTTCCCAGTACTCTAGCGCTTGTCTGGCCCTCAGCAGGGTGGGGGACGGGAGCAGAGCAGGCCACCAGCACTTCTGTAAAGGGCCACACGTTGGCCTTTGCTGTGCATTCTTTTGGTTCGTAGCTTTTAAAAACATAAAAGCCATTTTTAGTTCACAGGTCATGCAGACGCAGGCCGCTGGCTGGCTTTGGCCCGGGGACCGTGGGTTTCTGGCCCTTGGAATAGAAAGCTGAGGGTCGAGGGAAGGTCACGCTCAAGGAGGCTGCAAGCTTCGCTCCTTTGCAGCCCTCTTCAGTCAGGGTGGCCACGCTGCCGGCTTTTGGAAGTAGCACAGGACCCTGGGGACACCGGGTGTGGGCCTGCCTTGGCCCAGGCCCCCTCACCGGCCGTGTCCCTGTCCCGCAGCTCTGGCCAGGCTGCCTCACCTCTACAGGAACTTTGCCGCTGAGCAGTACGCGAGTGTGTTTGCCATCTCCCTGCCGTACACCAACCCCTCCAAGTAAGTGCCGGTCACGTCCCTCCCTGTGACCTGGGCCAGCCCGCGGCCCCTTGGAGCAGACGGCGTCCTGGTCTTTTTTTAGAAAAAAGTATTTTAAGAGACAGTACGTGCCAGGGAGCAGGGGAGGGGCAGAGAGAGAGGAAGAGAATCCCAAGCAGGCTCCACGCTGCCAGTGTAGACCGATGCGGGGCTCGAACTCGCGAACTGCGAGACGACGACCTGAACTGAAATCAAGAGTCGGACACTTAACCGACTGAGCCACCCAGGTGCCCCTGCGTGCTGGTCTCAGTCCTAGGACGGGCCTGTGGCCTCTGGGCCCCCCTTCTGTGCTCGGCTTGGCACATCAGCCTCGGGGGCCTGGACCGGGCCAAACCGCTTGTCTTCCTCCTCAGGTTTAATCAGTACATCGTGTGCCTGGCCCATCACGTCATAGCCATGTGGTTCATTAGATGCCGTCTGCCTTTTCGGAAGGATTTTGTTCCTTATATCACTAAGGTAGGCCGGAGGAGCTCAAACTCCTTGCAGGGTGGGACCTGCTTTGCTCCTGGCTGCAGTGGGGTGACGGTCAGGGGAGAGGGAGGTGGGCGTCGTCGGGTGCTGTGCTCACCGTGTCCCAGGCCTGCAGAGGGAGGGGACATGGGGGTCAGTCCCCCCGGCCTGCAGCTCAGCTCTGTTCCACTGCCAGGGCCTACGCTCCAATGTCCTCCTGTCTTTTGACGACACCCCGGAGAAGGACAGCTTCAGAGCGCGGAGCACCAGTCTCAACGAGAGGCCCAAGAGGTGCGGGCCTGTGGAGGGCGCGCCCAGTGTCTGTGGAGGGCACGGGCCAGGGTGGGTCGGCGAGCGTGGCCTGTGTGACCGGCACGGTGGGGTCTGGGCTGACCTGTTGCCGCTGGGCTGTCTAGCGGAAAGGGAACGTGGCCGAGGGGATGCCCCGTGCGGGCCGTGCTGGGCCCCAGGGGTCCCGGCATCAGGTAGGGCAGGGCCTGCGATGCTGCTAACGCCCGCATCTAGCTGCAGCGGCCGGCGCCGTGGCCTGCAGCCAGTCCCGGCCACGGAGCACCGAGGGCGGACTTGCCGACGGGATCAGGGTGCCAGCCGTAGGGCGTCTGGGTGGCCCGGCTCCACCCAGTGAGCCGAGGGCTGCGACAGGGCAGCTGTGGCTCCCGGGAAGCCGAGTACCTGGGCCCGGGTGAGGAGGAGCTCCAGGGCCCTGTAGTCAGCCCGGCCTCGGGCCGCGGTCCCCCTTCCTCCTGAGCTTGCTGTCCAGCCTGCTGCCGGTCAGGGGACACGCTCCCCTGTCCCGTCACAGCCGCTTTTGCCAAAGCCGAGAGCCGTGCTAGGCTTTGTCTCTGCACCTCACCGGAACGGCGACTCCTCTTTCTGCCCCCGCCTTCTGCCCCAGCTTTTCAGTTCTCCCCTGGGGGGGGGTGGGGGGGGGGGAGTACGGCATTTTCCAGAATGACCAGGTCATCGTGACTTAAAGTTAAAAGCTGGCTTCTTAAGCCCGGGTCGCTGGGGGCCCGGGACCTCGAACTAAGAACTGGCCTCTTTGAGGGGTGACCTTTGGGGCCTCAGCGCTCCCTGCTCCTCGAGCTGGGTGGTGCCGGCCGCAGGGCTGAGGTGGGGGGGACGCCTGGTCAGCGCAGCCTGGAATCTGCCGTGCGGAGCACTCCATACACGTTTAATTTGCACTAATGTTCTTTGTTTTGGTACCGTGACTTTTTCTCAGTTATGTTTACAAGATGTATTTTCATGCGTTTTTGTTTTCTGTTTCTTCCCCCTGCTAACTGGCCTCTGGCATGGTTTTTTGTTCATCTCACCCGCGGGCTGTCCATCCTGACCCCGTGGCCTGTGACCTTTCCTTCTCATCCCTCCAATGGCTTGCTCTCCCCTCCCGGGAGCTGGGCTCTCTGGGGCTTGGGCCTTCCTTCCTCACCTGGTAGTTTGAGGATAGCCAGACCCCCCAAACAAGGCTTGAATAACTCCCCACCCGTGAGAGAATTCCAGGAGAGCTCTGCAGCCGACGCCTTCCGGTGCCGCAGCATCAGTGTGTCTGAACATGTGGTCCGCAGGTAGTGGGCTTCTTCGGGTGGGGGGCTCAGACCCTGCAGCTTGGCCCGTGCGGCGGCACTGCAGGCGGGAGCGCCCGGGTGGCGGTGCATGGGGCGCTTGCATGACCTCGTCGCCTGGCCGGAGCTGGAGGAGCAGGAGACAGAGGCCCGTCCTGCCCAGCCCAGCCCTCGGTCCCGGGGAGCCTGGTGGTGAGGGGTGGGAAGGTTGCATTCTGTCCCCGAGCCTCGTCCCAGCACGGGCTGGCTGCAGGCCTCCTCGGAGGCTGGCCTGGGAGCCCAAAGCAGGGAGGGCGGTAGCTCTGAGGAAGCCAGGCACCCGGTGGCAGCTGCCCACAGGCCTGTCCCTGGAGGCGAGGGGGCCTCTGCGTATGAAAGCAGCGCCCACGGGGGACAGGAGGGAGCATGCTCCTGGGATTGGCTTTCGTATCCTCTCAGGTGGACTTTGTTCTTGAGCTTTCTCTTAGTAAAGGTCCGCTTTCTGGGGCGGCTGAAAGGGCGCGGGGGCTTTGAGTGGGGCAGCGGGGGTGGGGGCCGGGCTGGTGAGGTC